AAAAGAGGTAATTTAGTCAATCGACCACTAAACGTAATGGATTTAATAAGTAAAAGAAGTATCGCTTCGTTAACAGCTCCCCGTGGCCATTTCATAAGTAGCTGAGAATCGAATCCTGATTACACGACAGATGAAAAATTCGAAAGGGTGTAGGTTGAGTGAGAAGTTGGTGTCCGAGAGGATCGAAGTAATTTTTTTAATTTTTAAGCAGAAAGTCAATGTTAGAGGTAATCACGATCTATGTGTTAACCTTGTTACCTTGTTATCTCTGTTAGGACGTGTTATATCGAGAAAAATGATGACGTGGACTTGTAAGAAACGGCTGGTTAACATTGCTCGATCTAACAGGCATTGGCCAATGTTAGGTGTTAGGTCGAAAATGTAGTCACATTTCTATCCATTAGGGCGTAGGTAACTAACATGGCAGCCATGAATTTAACAGCTGTTTTTTCTTTACAAGTATTTTTATTCTTAAATATGCGTTAATTAAATCAGACCAATACATTTCTTTTGATAATTTCCGACCTGTCCTCATATTCTCATTGATAATAGATACAGCCCCTATCCTATAAAGTTGTAGGATGTCAGAGGTTAGGATATAGGTTAGGTATGTCGGCACCGATTGAAGCGTGTTATTTGTTAGTACTTTTCGAGTACATATCTTATTGGAAATTTAACGTAGTTTCCAATGGTCTCAACGGATTTGTCCAAAACCTTTTTAATTTTGAAGTTGTCATTGTTTATTTGAAGCAAGGTCGTGAAATATTAAAAAAATCATAAAAAATGGAATAACACCGATACTGTAAACATTCGGACCATAGTGATTAGGGCTTTTTGGTTCCATTTTGAATGTTGAATCTACTAGCAAAATTTGAAACACGAGTATAAGTCCTCTGTTTATACCAATAGCATTTAATTTTTAAGCAGAAAGTCAATGTTAAAACACGATCTATGTGTTAACCTTGTTAACTCTGTTAGGTCGTGTTACATCGAGAAAAATGATGACGTAGACTTGTAAGAATCGGCTGGTTAACATTGCTCGATCTAATAGGCCTTGGCCAATGTTAGGTGTTAGGTCGTTGGTAACCAACATGGCAGCCATGAATTTAACAGCTGTTTTTTGTTTACACGTATTTTTCTTAAATACGCGTTAACTACATCAGACCAATCATTTCTTTTGTTAATTTCTGATCTGTCTTTATACTCTCCTAAAGACACATCTTTATACATTCATAAAAGATACATCGCCTATCCTATAAACTTGTGTGCTGTTAGAGGTTAGGATACAGGTTAGATATGTCGGCATGAATTGAAGCGTGTCATTTGTTAGTATTTGTCGTGTGCATAGATAGCATTTTGAATGAAAGAGTTGAATAATTTTCCTTTTTTATTAACTTCTGGTATCTTACAATTTAACACAAAACCATAACAACCAACAACAAGCCTTCAATGACTGTTATAGCTTTATTTTCGGTTCTACCAATCGCCACGCGCAGCATTGCGGAAAAATTAACATTTAACATTCTAAGAAAAAAAGGTGCTTTCACGATCTTACTGGACATTTCTTAGTTCTGGAGTTAACATCTTACAGACATCGTGACTTGATCATTATGTAACTAAGTGTTAAAAGAATGGCGGAAGATTTTTTCTAAACATCAATCTTAAAAATCTTAACGATCAAGTTTTATTATACATATAGAACATTGATGTTGAGAAACTATAATTGTTTCTTTTAAACAAAACTTTGTGAGGAATGCACGATAGTCTGTGGTTTAATTGAAACCCAATCGGGCGGGCTTGTTTTTCCGGGCGTCGAACCGAAATAAGCACCCTCCGGTGGCGGATTAGGATTTTGATTACCCCTATCCAACAGAGGTTAATGATTCCATCAGGTGTTCGGAACAAAGGTCGCCCCCGCTTTTGTTTTCAATCCCGTTTGCTGTCGGACGACGAGGGCGAAAGGAAACATCATTTCCTGCAGGGCAGGAAATCCACCCCTGTGGCTGCAGAGGGGAATGTTTTAAATTGTGAACTCTTTCCATCCAATACAACTTGACGTCATAGTTTTTGTATCTTTCTCGAAAAATATGCCTACGAAACGATATTTTCTCACGTGTTAACGACGGAGAACCTTTTGCATTTTTATTCTTCTTGGCTATTCACTTATTTGAAGATCATTTTAGGTGTATTTTTCAGGTACTTTCAACCATTCCAAATATCCTTTTATTATAGATATCGATTTCGGAGTACCAGCCTCCCCTCTTCAGTCTACATAGTAAAAATTACCAAGTTACATATTACGAACAATTTTTTCCTTTTCTTTTATTTAAAATTATATGACACAAATTGTTCGTGATATGTAACTTTGCAATTTTTACTATGTAGACTGAAGAGGAGAGGCTGGTACTCCGAAATCGATATCGAGATAAAAAAAAATGATATTTTGAAATGGTTGTAGGTTCCTGAAAAACACTCAACGATAAAAATGATCTTTTGAATTTTTCGTATGTACTTTACGGGGCTAATTTTTAGCCTCGCGGGATCTCAATCTATTCACCAATTCTTTTTGCACTGGTGAGCTCGAATGCGACTTGAACCTACCTGCTACCTCAGAAAGACGCACAGTTGTAAAGGATTTTCTAACTAAAGACTTCATTAAACTTAGTAGAAGAACTATTATTTTTAAACAAAAATTAACATATTAGGGATATTTTGCATAACGTTAGCGTTAACGGTAACGCTAAATGAAGCTTATAACACAGCGGGTCACGTTATTTGTCTTAGAATAGCATGCTTTTTAACGGGTGGCGGTAAAGTCAACAAAATTCTTGTTGGAGGTATTGTCCAATTTACAAAAGTAATATGATTTGTATTATATAATAGGTGATCTTCCACTTACGCCTGTGTGTATGACCTTCGTTGTCACTCGCGGGATACGAAGGATCGGACCATCGAAGGGTATAGCGTCGAGGACGCTGAGACTACGACTATGGAATCCCTCGAATACGTAAGGGGTAGTGGATGGGAACGGTGAAGTGGAACTTATAACCTATTCCGTTCCAGCGGTCTTTAGCTTACTTGTGACGCCACTGTTAGGGTCGCTTAGGAGACTGAACAAAAAGACTACCGTAGCCTGTTCGTTTCGATGTAGCAAATACAACCGGGGCGGTCGTGTCTGGGTGAATCGTCTGAATCCTGAAAAGGTGAGCTTGTGAAACCTGGGACGGCCGTTCCACCCCAGGGGTGGTTGCTCTTGGAGGTTTTCGACTGGAGATGTCGCAGAAGAGGGGTAGATCATTCTCTCGGAGTTAACTCGGAATACGCGATAGGAACGGTTGGCTGCTGGGGTTGAGCGAGTCTGGCCCGAAAGGGGGAGCCTGTGAAGCCTTGGGAACAGCCGTGCCAGGAGGCGGCACAATGTGGGCACCCCTTAGAGGACTGTGTTATTGCATGAGACCCCAGAAGGAGGTGTGCCTAGTGTCGTTCTTCGAAAGTACGAGGTGCCCTTAGTAGAATTTTATTCGAAGAAGCGGCAAGATCCTAAGAGGGCGGAGATTGAACTGAGTATGGGCGGTTGGTTTCCGGAGCGATCCTGAAAAGGTGAGCTTGTGATGCTTTGGGGACTGACGTGCCCGCAGATTGCCGAGGTGGGCCTTTTGGAGGATCTCAATAAGATGCCGCAGAAGAATGATGGATAATTCTCGCCGAGTTTTTATATGTGGTAACATCGAACGAATAGGTGGGATGAGTTTCAATGGAGAGTCGCACACAGTTAGTTGTTGTTCGCTATGTGGATGAAATTTTGGAACATCATGCGTTGCCTATCCTTGATGAAATCAGCGACAATCTTCCAATGCACGATAATGCCCGTCCGCATGTCGCTCCCAAAGTACAAACGTACCTTCAACAGCATAACATCAGGGTCTTAGCCTAGCCATCCCGTTCTCCAGACTTGAACCACCTTCGAACATTTATGGGATAACCTCAAAACACGAATAAGAGCTCGTCCATCCCCTCCATGATACACTCCACCATCTTGTAAGGACTCTTCTTGAAAAATGGGCTAACCTCCAGCAAAGAGACATTTCCAGACTGGTAGAAAGTATGCCGAGACGTCTTATTAGAATTAAGGCAAGAGGAGGAAATACGCGATATTAAAATGTAATGTGATATCTGATGTAATTGAACCCTTAAATTTACTACATCTATTAGGTTTCGTGATCCGATTGACCAAATAAATTCTTTTCAATTAATTAATCTTTAATTAAGGTTTTTGTTGAGATAACAAAGTCAGTGTCACGAACGGGATTCGAACCCAGGGCCTTCGGCTCAATACGCCGCTGCTCTACCACTTAGATCAGTCAAGAATATCAAGATCGAGGTCACGATAGCTCAAGTGTTTAGAGGAGCGGCGTATTGAGCCGAACGTCGTGGGTTCGAATCCCGTTCGTGACACTGAAGTTTTTATTGAATAAAGGAATCGGGGATGAAGGTAAGTGATAAAAACCATTTCTTTTTCTTCCGTCGAGCTTTCGGCTATATTTAATGCCTTCCTCAGATCATAGAAAAAATTATTTAAAACTGGAAAATCAATTCGGACATTTGGTCCGAATAGAAAGGATAACTCCTACTGGCTTTTTTATCTCAACCAAAACCTTAATTAAAGATTAATTAGGAGAAAAAAATATTTTTATATATAAGTATGTTAAAATTGTAAACTGTGGCTTCAGTTGCTCGTTAATGAAATGCTTATTAATGAACCATCTTACCTCCTGATGACTCTAAAATATTTGTCGGCTAATGAAGTTGTTAAGGTTGAGTTAACCACTTGAGCAAAATGGAAATTTCACTTATTACCCAGAGTCAGTTAACAGCATTGTTTACACCCTCAACCAATTGGGGGGGGGGGTCGAGTGCCCTCAATCCAATTGAGTGTCAATTTCGCCTCCCGGGTAAAAATCTTATCATGCTTGTTTAAAGTGTTAATTTTTAATTTCCAGGTGCCGGCGTCCTTGTCGAGTGAATTCTGGAAGCTCGCCGAAACGGCTGCCGAGGTAAAACGAATTTATTTATAATTAATGGCGCGGGGTGAGCGTAATCAACGAGGGGTATTCAAAACGAGCACCCTTTAATTTTCCGACCGGCTTCAACTAAAAATAAACTGTCTAATATATAAATCATAAAAACTGATATAATGTGATGGTGTTGTGATATAAAACTTGGGTTACAAATTAATCAAAATTTATTATTATTTTTTTACGAGGGTTCGCAACAGCAGAGGTCATATCAACCCCCGGGGTGCCAGGGTTTTTTTATTACTATTATTTTTTTTTAAATTGACTACTAGAATTCTGCGATTATATCGTATTTTACTTTTCGCAAGTTGTTTAGAAATAAAAGCGATAAACCTAAACTTTCACATTCACTAGTTTTCGTGGTCCGCTTGACCAATTAATATATTTCAATTAATTAAGGTTTTTAGTTGAGATAAAAAAGTCAATGAAATGAGCGGGATTCGAACCCACGACCTTCGGCTCAGAACGCCGCTGCTCTACCTGAGCTATCGCGACTTCGATGAAAAGGTGGGTTTAGATGGGGAGTTGGTGTCCAGTGGATCGAAGTCACGATAGCTCAGGTGGTAGCTGCGTATCTAGCCGAAGGCCGTGGGTTCGAATCCCGCTCATTTCATTGACTTTTTTTATCTCAACTAAAAACGTTAAATTATACTGAAAACACCAGTCAATTGTTCTGATACTCTTATCAAAATATTTGATACAACACAAAAGTTGAAAGAATTGTTCTAATTAACAAAAAATAAAGTAAACAAAAATGTATAACATTGGCACGATTTAACAACACACATAAACTTTAAGGGTTAGAATAGTGTTTTATTATGCACTAAAGGATTGGTCTTGCAACCATTCAATGACTCGCCGCCGAGAACCTCATTAAATCCGGCGGCGTGCCTACACGCTCTCTGTAAGGAGCCAAGGAGACAAACTACTTTTATGTGCGACACACCGAACAACCTTTCTCGGCATAATGGGCAGCGGGTTTTGGCCTAGAGCAGTTGACCGTGAGTCAACCGCGTATGACCTATTCTCAATCGGGTAACGACTCCTCGTTGCCAACTCAGTCCCTAATACATTGAAGATGTGTTATCAGAAGAAATTGTTCTTGATATGCTACTAATTGGCGTCAGTTTTATTTTAAATGCAAGGGCCACATAGCTAGGTGAATACATGAAACGTATTTCAATACATTGTTTTGAATAGCCAGGATGTAGTTCCGAGTAAAACCCTATCGAACACCTTTGGGATGAGTTGTCAAAAGTAATAGGGATATGGTTAAAACAGGCGGCCAAAAGGCCTACTGCCCCTTGACCTGAATTGATCTATTGTGCTCCCCTGTTATTTATAACTCATTGGCCAGATTCAGGCTATTAACCAGCCTCCACAGTTTTGCCAGCGGCCCCTGGTTTAGGATCTTGCTTGTGGTTTCTCCTGTCAAGTTGCAAGAACTTGCACCTACCTAGACCTTCACAGAAACATAAAGATGTTCTGAGGTCTCCTCCTCTTCCTGGCAATATCTGCACAGTGTTTCCTCTGTCTGTACTCCTATCCGGTGCATGTGATTTCGTAAGTGGCAGTGTCCATGCCATCCCGCTCGTGACGCCAAAAACAAAAATTACTCACAGGGACATCTTCCCTGTGGGCCCAGGCAAAGTCCGACCATCAACCCTGATGCGTCGGGGTAACCAATGATGGAGGCATTATCCCTATTACCATCCTTACCCTTTCCCTTTTCCCTCCCTCTCCCCCCGCTGCTTTGGCTTACTGAGGGTTACTGAACCCGCACCCCTCAGGCAAAGGGTGCATCAGTAGGGAGTTCGTATGACCTCCCGGGTGGGCGATCAGTCCAACCTTAAAAATAATACTGAACCACGGGAGTTGGAGGTTGGACTCGTGGTCGTCGTGGTTTGTACACAAATTGTACCTTAGCTGGAGGGTACCGGCCAACCGGAGCTGTCTTCTCTATCTCCGGGGGTGGTGAAAGGCATGGCCTAAAGGCTATTCTGGAAACTTCAAAACTACCTTTTATAAGGCACATGTATGGATGTGCCCTTTTCAGGGCACTTCTGAACTTGGCTAGTATTGCACTACCGTCGCTGCCCAAGGGGCTGAAAAGTCCATGCATGTAAGATCTTTCCGGTGTTCTTTCGAGAACACTAGGCGTCTGAGAAATCCTCTTGGGGATAAGTCCGGACGTTAAAAATCCTCAAGGGTCTCAACGCCCATCGGTAAAGATGGGAACATCTGTCCATACCTTTTCAACTGTCCCGTCACACATCCGGAATCCTGGTTGGGTTGCGGTTGCCTTCCAGTAATTCTTTTATAAGTTTTGCGGATTGCCCTTCTATGAACCTTTTCTCGAGCCTCATACCTGTGGTATTATTTCACCAGGTTTTGGACTCATTAAGGTTCCATTTTAACATGTGACGTCTTGTGTGGCAGGCTGTTAACCGCAGTAGGGTTCTGGGCAAAGAGAGTCCACGTCCCTCCCTTTTTGGCCAAAATTACAACCTTTTCGTTGCCTCTATGCCCCGAATGTCCCGGGACCCACGCCAGGGTCAGGTCATTAGTGTCACGGACTTCCGTCAGGGCCTCCATGCATTTCCAAACACTCTTTGCCTTTGCTAAGACCCTAAGTGCGGCCAGGCTGTCAGAGAAAATGGCTACCATCCGAGAATTTATTCCTAGCCTTTTTATTTCTCTGGCGCATCGCTCAATCGCTATGAGTTCAGACTGGAAAACTAGCATTCTTGACCAGATCTACCGTCAGTTCGATCTTGGCGCTCTTCCCAAAGAACCCTTGTCCTCCCAACTTGTCGATTTTGGAGCCGTCAGAATACCAGTAGGAATTTGCCTTTAGTGGTGTTCCTTTGGCTCATTATTCCAGTTCTGGTATCACTACTTTGTTGGTTCTTGGTAAAGTTGAACTTTGGAGTAGTGGCATTAATTGGCATCCCAGAGAATTTGCATGAATTAAGAATGGCACTGTTGTAGGAATATGACAATATTCCACAGCACAACATTCAAAACTTCATAAAATCGATGCCTCATCGAATACAAGCGGTGATCAACGCAACAGGAGGATATACTCCGCGCTGAATTGAATTTTTCTTCATTGTTTCTATACAAACATTTTTGGTAACAGTAAGAATACTGTGTAACAACACTGAAGAGAACTCATTTAAACAGGGGTCGAAAACCTTATGAATAAACAGAACTTTTTTCAAAGACCATGCTGTACAACTATTCAAGAATGTCCTCTTCAAATAATAGAATTTAAAAAAAAAAGAAACAGAGAAAAATTATTTATTAATAAACTTATTACTCATATTTATTAATAGTTAAATTTACTAGTTTCGTGGCCGCTTGACCAATTAATATTTTTCAATTAATTAAAGCTTTTATTTAATATAAAAAACTCAGTGTCACGAGCGGGATTCGAACCCACGACCTTCGGCTCAATACGCCGCTGCTCTACCACTTGAGCTATCGTGACCTCGATCCTCGACACTAACTTCCCATCTCAACCCCACCTTTTTAATTTTCCCTCCTTTTTGCCATTTTTCAAATGTCGTGTAATCTATTGGATTCTCGGTGACTATTAGACAGAAGTTTTCTATACTTTGGGTTGATATTGCGTTGTTATTATTGTTCAAATCTGGTGAGACGTATGTTTAAACCTATTTTATTTTCAACCGTGCGGAGAATATCACTTTAACACTTTGACGCCGTGAACTTTTTAACATGAAACCTACCACGTATCACACTTCCGTTGTCGCTTCAACTTTGAAAAGCCGAAATTTTTTAAACCCCCGTCAGAGAAAAGTTTCGCGTATTCCGGAGAGGTTGTATCCCGTAGGCAATAATCAAAACGGGTTTTAAACGAGAGGAAAATTATTTTCGTATCGGCGAAGGACTTCGTTGTCCGAATCTGTTCTAATTTGTATCAATCAGCTCCTTCCCCTCCCTTCGGGCTTATCCTTCAATCGATTAGCCGTCTCTTACCGTCCGTCGTTAACACTTCTCGTGTTTAAAATTAGTTTGGAAAAAAAATGTCTTAACAGCTCTAATCGTTACCTCGTCTAGTATTCATAGCTTAGAAATAAAATTTTCCAGTTTTAGTTTAAGAATTGAAAATATGAATAATTTGAAAATACACCGACAGGCAAAAAAACTCCGCCCATTTGTAATATAACTTGATTTGTATATATTTTTATATATTAATCAAAGTTTCACGTTTTTTAACGTTTAATAAACAAGTTTTTGTCTAAAAAAGTTTTTAAAAAAATGTAAATTGCTAAGGAAAAATAAAAATAAACAAAATTTAAAAAATTAAAAAATACGGGTAAAATTTGTTCTAATTTTGTATTAGATTTTTAATTAACATTTCAATATCGCGCATTTCCTCTTCTTGCTATAATTACATCTCGAAGATGCCTCGGCATTCTTTCTACCAGTCTGGGAATGTCTCTTTGCTGGAGGTTAGCCCATCCTTCGAGAAGAGTCCTTTCAAGGTCGAGGAGTGTGTCAGGAGGTGATGGACATGGTTTGTCTTTTGAGGTTATCCCATAAATATTGGATGAGGTTCAAGTTTGTAAAACGGGCTGGTCAGGCTAAGACCCTGATGTTATGCTGTTGAAGGTAGGTTTGTACTATGCGAGCGACATGTGGACGGGCATTATCATCCATTAGAACAGGATTGTCGCTGATTTCGGGGATAGAGCATGATGTTCCAAAATTTCATCCACATGGCGAGTGGCTGTCAAAGAACCTCTACGAACAACACCCAACTCTGTGCGACTCTCTTTTGAAATTCCCGCCCACACCATCACTGAGGTACGTTGAAAAGGTCGGATCTGGGAAAAATTACAGACTTTGTACCTTTCATCTCACCTTTCCACACTCTTCCGGATGGATATCGTAGAGGAAATCTACTCTTGTATTTGTAAAACGTACAGAAGACCAATCGGCTTTGTTCTCGA